AAATAGATTGATACTCAACTGCTATTTTTTAGTTTTGAGCAGTTAAATTTTTTTTTCTGTTTTTGAGGTCATCAATATGAGTATGATAATGAGAGTTAAAATTTTTGTCATAATGAAAAGACTAAATTATATTTTTGAAAGCAGAGAAGTGTGTAGTACATTTTTGGAAGTTATTAGAATGGTTAAAAAATAAGTGGCAATATTCTGTTATCTGGAAATCTATGAATTAATTCTGAAGATTCCAGATAAATGAGTTGTTGATGTGTTATTTAATAAATCTCTTAAAAGGATTCTCTAACAAAGCTTTTCATAAGTTTTACTTTCTTATTGGATGATGAATATTTATATATGTGTATGTGTGTATTTTTATCTGTACATTATTATAATGACTTTAATACTGGTGGAGATTAGTGAATTTTATTATAACCGAATGAAAAACAATGATTTTGTTATTTAGGAACTGGTTTTCCAAAGTGGTATTTAGAATCAACTGATATCTTGTTGATTGTAGGATTCTTTAGTGCAGCGCTGTTAGTGATTTTGCTCAATAGAAATGTATCAGGTGAATGAAATACATATTACCCTGATGCGTATGTGGCATGTACTGCTAAATCATAAATTGACCATATGTTTGAAAATCCCATTTATATTTGGTTTGAAATTATTTTAAGCAGCTTTCTTTATTATGTCTTAACTTTTATATATAAGGTATGTGTTTAGCCCATGTGTATTTTTTCACATATGTAATTTGTAGTTTGTTCTGGGTTGGTAATGACTTAGTCATTTATTCCTTCTTCTTTCCTCCATTCTTACATTCCTTTTACCTCTTTAGGTTCAAACTATATCATGGGTCTGTTTGCATCTGTTTCCCTCTGTCTCTTACCCCCCCACCTTTTTATTTTTAAGTAAAACTTGTAGTCCTTATGTTAAGTTGGACTTTTCAAAACAGATAATTTCTTGTTCTTATGATGCAATAATTCTTACTTTTATTCTAAGAATTATGATGGGCAAGGTGAGCTAGAACTTCTTTCCAAGACTTAGATTAGACCATGAAGGATAAAACTATACAAATTCTTGGTCATGACAAGAAATGAATAAAAACTAAGAATGACAGGTTTTTTTTAAAATTTTATTTATTTATTTATTTTTTCCCCCAAAGCCCCAGTAGATAGTTGTATGTCATAGCTGCACATCCTTCTAGTTGCTGTGTGTGGGATGCGGCCTCAGCATGGCCGGAGAAGCAGTGCGTCAGTGCGCGCCTGGGATCTGAACCCGGGCCGCCAGCAGCGGAGCGCACTCACTTAACCGCTAAGCCACGGGGCCGGCCCAAGAATGACAGTTTTTTAAAGAGCAGTGTATTACAAAACATGATGCCAGGGAGCTGTTTCCCTTGTGAAAAGATTTAGAAGTGGCTTTATAAATATGAGTACATTACAGTGTGATAGCAGCAGTCTGGAGATTTTATAGACAGTGGTGTTCTGAATTGTTGCAGCCAAAAATGTTTATTATGGCTCAATATTATGGATAGATAGATCGACATAGATAATATTCTACATTGATAAGCCTTATATCTTTATAAAATGCTTTTGTATATATTTCCTATTTAATTTTTACATAAACTCCATTTTACAACTGAAGCTGAAGATCTGACAGTTTGTTATATCAAGGTTGTGGAAGCTTAAACTTGAACCTCGGTCTTCTGAACTTGTAGGCTTCCCACTTTGTCTTAGCTGTAACATGTTTACCTGTAACATGTAAATATGTAACATAACATCTTATGTTATCTGTAATATGATTACAGAAAATTTAATGGAGGCATTTAAAGTTGGATTTTGAAAAAGGATGTGCTCTGACAAGAAGCAAAAAATTCTAGGAAGGGTGAAAGGTAAGTTGAAAGACTGAGACAGGTGTGTAGGTTGGGACAGCAGTTGTGCCACAAAAATGCTTTTCTACTATGTGTATATAGAATGATTTGTGTTTGCTTCATTTGCTTAGAGGGTTTTGGGTGGGGGGTAACTGCAATTATGTTGTCAGTCACTCTTCTTGTCTTGGCTGTGCCATGGTTTTTGTTTCTATAGATGTTTTTCATATAATGACTTCACACTTTGAAGTAAGCTTGACTTGAACTATTTAATATCATACTTGAAGGCATATTCCAAGATCCTTTTTCCTGTGTTATAAAACTAATATACTCCTGTGGCAGAAACTTAGAAACATTTTACCACTTAAAAATAATGGCTTTTTGGGCCGGCCCCTTGGCTTAGCGGTTAAGTGCGTGCGCTCCGCTGCTGGCTGCCCGGGTTCGGATCCCGGGTGCGCACCAACGCACCGCTCCTCTGGCCATGCTGAGGCTGCGTCCCGCATACAGCAGCTAGAAGGATGTGCAGCTATGACATACAACTATCTACTGGGGCTTTGGGAAAAAAAAAAAAAATGGCTTTTAATAATTTGTACTATTATCTTTCAGTCTGTTTTCTGAATGTGTGTGTATATTTTTGTTTGATTAATTTTTTTATTGAGGTAACATTGGTTTATAACACTATATAAATTTCAGGTGTACCTCGTTATATTTTGATTTCTGTGTAGACTACATTGTGTTCACCACCAAAAGTCTAGTTGCCATTTGTCACCATACAAATGTACTCTTTTACCTCTTTGGGGGTAATGTGTGTGTATGTAGATTATAAATTTTTTAAAAAATTGGGATGTGTAGGGTCAGGAGGTATATATGGGAAATCTCTGTACCTTCCATTCAGTTTTGCTGTGAACCTAAGTCTGATCTAAAAGATAAAGTCTATAAATAAGTGTATTTATAAATAAAATCTATAAAAAATTGGGTCATACCATATTATAGTTTTGTTTTCTGAGAAGCTGGTTTAATTTTATTCTGAAAAATATTTATATTTTGTGACTGTGGTAGATTTATAGTATATCATATTCTTTATATGTGCCATTAAAATTCTATATTTATTTTAATCTATCTGGTTACAAGTCAGGATTGTGGTTAGTTACCCTTTGGGGTGCTGCATCAAGACTGGAAGGGAACACAGGAATTCTGAGGTGCTGTTTATTTTTGTGAAAATTGAGTTGTATATGTACACGCTTTTTTCTGTATGCATATTTTACTTTAATAAACTTAAAAAGGTTTAATAGTTATTGAAATAACACTTTGGGGTTAATAAGAAAAAGAAATGCATAGACATTTCAGATGACTGCTTTCTTCAGTTGTGATTTTAAATGATATATAAATAGTTCATTTTTAAAAATGTGTGATTACTTAGGAAATATTAACTTATATATGTGTCTAAGCTCCAGCTGTTTGGAGTAACATTTTATGGCTGGATGACAGCCTATGGCAGGATTTCAAGGACTTTAAGCCTCAAAAAGTAAGAGTACCAGACTAATCTGAAGTGTGAGAACAGCTTAATCTATTCTAGAATTTAAGGTATATGTGAACAGATGAAGACCTTATCTAGCTTATTCACCTCTGTATTCCTAACCCTTTTCTTATATTCAGCAGTGCATATTTGTTGTCAATGAATCCCTGTTTTGCTTTGCTTTACCATTAACTGTTCTCTCATTTGCTTTGAGTATTATTATCACTTTTAAACACTTTGTCAGTTTGATAGGTGAAAATATTTTAGTTGAATTTGTATTTTTTATTATTGAGTGTAAGTTTTTAAGTGTATGGATTTAATTTTTTGAGAATTATCTGTTGAAGTAGTCTAGACCTGAGTTGTTCAGTGTGGTAGCCACTAGTCTCCTGTAGTTGTTGAACACTTAAGATGGAGCTACTTTGAATTAAGATATGCTGTAAGTGTAAAATAACACGCTGGATTTTGAAATCTTACTATGGAAAAAAGGATGTAAAATATCTCACTTTTTTAGTATTGGTTCTGTTTTGAAATGATGATGTTTTAGATATATTGGTTAAGTAAAATATATTATTAAAATTAATTTCACTGTTTCTTTTTGTTTCTAATGTGACTCCTAGAAAATTTAAATTTACATATGTGGTAAGCATTATATTTCTATTGGACAGTGCTAATCTAATCATTAAGAGATTAGGACCTGTGTTAAGGTAGTATTTATAGAAAGGAGAGTAAGGAGGGATTTTAAGAAATTATGCAGTATGCATGTACACTATATAATCTCTGTTATGTTACAGGATATTTTACAGTTTTTGTGTGCTTGCCTGATGGCTTTGTAATCAGTAGTAAGCTTTTTGAGGGCAAGGACTATGTCACTATTTTAAAATTCTCCTCTACATTTTGTCTTTTGCTGGATGCATAGAAGCTTGACTGAACAAACAAGAATAGGACATGAAATAATTTTGTAAATTCCAAGTTTGAATTTTTAGAATGCAGATCAGTGATTCCTAGAGTTCTTATAACCTTTATTTTAATATCATAGTATCACCAGTTAGCCAGATCAGTCATATCCTTTTTAAAAGGTGCAAGGGTTAGGGAACTAACATCTAGTCTTATATGTATAGGCTCTGGGTAGTCAGTCATTTTATATTTCTTCATTTAGTCCTTATAGTAACCTACGAGAAAGATATCAACCACCATTTTACATATTAGGAAATTGAGATTGAGTAATTTTTCCAGTCTTTATTTTACTAATTCAGATATGCCCAACTTCAAACCTAGTACTTTTCCCACTGTAGTTTACTATTAAAGTTAGCCAGTTATTTTAAGTGATTTGAAGTTAGTCTAATATTATGGTTGACATGAAGTTAAGAATAATCTTTAGAGTGAAATGTATAATGAAAAATTTTGAGTTTATGATGTGTGTATTATGTATTCCATGTTCAATATACGAAAGGAAATTTAGAAATATTTTCTAAAACCTGAGAGAAAGAAAAAAAGGTAAATTTGTTTTTCGTTCTGATTTTCTTGGTGTATTATAATTCTAGAAATTGCACTAGAGTTCATTGAAAAAATAAAATGGTAAAATAGTTTTAAATGTTTCCTTTATTTTGTCTTTCAGATAAAATCAAAGACAAAATTAGAGAGAGAGAGAAAGAAAAAGACAGAGAAAAAAAGAAGCATAAAGTAATGAGTGAGATCAAGAAAGAAAATGGAGAAGTAAAGATTTTGCTGAAAAGTAAGTTTATATTCAGTGATTTTAGTCGTGTTATATTATATTGTTTAGTATACTTATTGGCTTCGTGATTAAAATAAATGTTATTTGGTGCTGAATTTTGCTGAGAGAATAAATGAGAGTGAGAATAAACATTAATGGTCAGAAAACAAAAAGTTAATGTAATAATGGGGAGTTCCAGTCTGTACAGTAACGTGTTTTTTTTGTATTTATTTAGTGAGTCATTAAAAAATAGTAAATGTTGGGCCAGCTCTGTAGCATAGCGGTTAAGTGCGCACGCTCCGCTGTTGGGGGCCTGGGTTCAGATCCCAGGCACGCACTGATGCACGGCTTGTCAAGCCATGCTGTGGTGGCGTCCCATGTAAAGTGGAGGAAGATGGGCACGGATGTTAGCCCAGGGCCAGTCTTCCTCAGCAAAAAAAGAGGAGGATTGGCATGGATGTTAGCTCAGGGCTGATCTTCCTCACAAAAAAAAAAAAAGGGAAATGTTAAGTTTCATTAAACTATTAAGTTCCTTAAATTATTTTAAAATAGGTTATCTAATTCTGTGTTTGTATTACTAATCTTTATCTATATTTAGATAATCTAAAATAAAAAGCTAAAGCAATTTTTAGCATGATAGTAATGGTGGAGGAAGTGATCTTATAAGTGTTTGACAGTAATTACCATATCAGAGTCTGGGATTTAGAGGGAACATTTTACTCTGAGATAAATTAGAAAGTGTACTCTTTTTCTATATGTTTTTTGCATGCTTAAGAATATCCTCTTTTTGTTTTCTGTTTTTTCTCTATTGTTACAGTTGTTTTCAGTTGCTGTTTATGCATGGGCCTGGGTGGTTGGGTAATAAGACAAATCGTATCAATAAATCTGAACTTTTTCAGAGAAAATTTGTGGTAGAATAGAAGTAAGGACAGTCTTAAATTCGCTCAGATAGCAAGATAAGAAGAATCAAGGGCATTTGGTTGTTAGGTAGCAAATTCATTAGCTGCCCTATCAAGTTAATTTGCAGATCAGAACACATTGATTTTGATTAATTTCATATTGATTTATGTGGTGATAAGCCTTTATATCTACCTAAGGGAGAAAAGACCATAACACTGCATGCGCAATGAAATAACAGGTTAATTTATATTATTTAAGATAAATGGAGCACTAGATTCTAAATTTTCATTTCATTCATTGTCATGTTTCCAGATGTTCTTTGGTGGCACTTTAAACAGTATTTATTTTCTATAAAATTCTTTTGACCTTGAAGAAACATCTCACAGCTTAAGTTGATGGCTACTTAGTTAATGCTCGTGGTCCTTTTGTTCTGTTTCTTTTGCTGGTGTGTTTTATCTGTGTTGTCTAATTAGACTGTAAGCCTAATTAAATGAAGTCACGTATGGGTGAAGTGCCAAGTACAGTGTCAGGCCCACAGATATTCAATAAGTGGATATGAATCTTTCCTGTAAACATGTATAAAAGGTTAACTCTTGTGATTAAAAAACAACAACAAACCATCTCCTCTCCTCTCCTCAATGGGTAGTATATAGATAACTAAATGAATTAAAACATGATTCATTTGGGAAACAGTGCCTGTCTCGTTGTAAGCATTAAGTGTTAGCTATTGTTATTATCCAGCAAAAACAATTTGCTGTGCTTGTGTGGCCATTTCCCACGTGAGCATATGATCAGGGAAAGGCATCCTTTGTTACTGGTGTCTTGGAGCAACAAGAGTCAGTTTGGTGGGTGGAGTGTACTGTTATTTACAACTGTGTGCCTATTTTTTCTTTCTGGCCTTCAACTTTTATTCTCTCCGTATAATTTTCTCTTTCTGATAATGCTAATGTTGCAAGCTATGGCACACACAGGCATTGATTGTTTGATGATGACACTTGAACATCTAAAATAGATGCTAAGTCTTACTCCACATGAGTCATTTCCTCCGGGTTTTCATGAAAAACTGTGTCAAGTTGAATATCACTACAGATATATACACAATTATATACATGCTGAAAAGTTTTTATTAATGCAGAAATCTTGTAAATGTTTTTCACTGATAAAATAGGATTATTTGCTTTATTATAAATAGTTTAAAGGAACAAATAAATTTGAAACAAGCTTATTTAGCTCATCCTTTTATATCTAATGTCTACCAACTACTTTTTCTGAACACACTTGAATCTTCCAGCCATTTTTATGTGTTTATTGATAAATTGTAAGAACATAGATGTTATGATTATAGTATTTTTCAAAGTAAATTTTATCATAGCATATAAAAGAAGCTTACTAGTAAGCAAGTGGAATGGGGGTTAAAAGAAGCCAATGTCCGAGATGATTGGTAGTGTACTAAAGGTTACAGATAGGTAATTCATGGCAGGAAGAGTGAAAATATTGCAGTGTGAAAAAAGCAGTGTCATTCCCCAAAGACTAAAGGTTGAAAGTAACTAAGCTAATTACTACTTTTTTTCTATGTATGATAATGGAGTTATATATATTCATTTCTGTATTAGATATGAAATCAGATCCAATTTTTCTGGGCAACCTTTATTTTTTCCCTTATTAACACTAAAAGTATATACATTAAGGTTAATGGTGGAAATTAATGCCAGTGAATTTGTGATTTTTAAAGTTTTTTTTTTTTTTAAATATAATTAGCCATTAAAAACACATGCTGTTTTTGTATCTGTTTCTCTGTGTGTGTTTTTCTTTCTCTTTGTGGGTGTCTGCATCTTCTCTGTGTCTGATTCCCTCTGGCTCTCTGTGCATGTGTGTGTCTGTCGATCTGTGAGGGGAGGGTTTCCCATCAACCTTATACATTTATACTTTTTGAGGGTCCAAATTACCTAGACAGCAATTCTATTCTTTCCGTTATGGATACTTATCAGGATCCTTTAAAAAAACTACAGGTCTGGGGCCGCCCTGTGGCATAGCAGTTAAGTGCACGCGCTCCGCTGCTGGTGGCCTGGGTTTGGATCCCGGGCACGCACCGACGCACCACTTGTCAGGCCATGCTGTGGTGGCGTCCCACATAAAGTGGAGGAAGATCGGCATGGATGTTAGCTCAGGGCCAGTCTTCCTCAGCAAAAAGAGGAGGGACTGGCATGGATGTTAGCTCAGGGCTGATCTTCCTCACAAAAAAAAACCAAAACAAACTACAGGTCTGATTTATTGGACTGAAGAATTATAGATTTAGAGTAATGTGTACTTGAAATACTTTTTAGGATAAGAAAAGAATATTAATATTCAAAATGGTCTTATTTTCTTAAAGCATTTTAAAATTTCCTACATATACATCTATTGCATTGCATATAGCATTCCAAGACAGGAAATGAGTGAGAGATTATATAAAACTTTAAAAATCTGTCTAGTGAATGCTAGTGCCTCTGTTTGCTTTAAACGTAAATAATGCATTTTACCTGTGTCCCTCGGGTCCCCAAGACTACCCCCAGGTTTGATGATTTGCTAGGAGAACTCACAGAACTCAGCATTTAGTTGTACTCACGGCTACGGTTTATTATAGTGGAGGACACAAAGTAAAATCAGTAAAGAGAAAAGGCACATGGGGCAATGTCTGGAGGAAACCAGGCACAGGTTTCCAAAAGTCTTTTCCTGGTGGAGTCACACAGGATGAATTTAATTCTAACAGCAGTGAATTGTGACAACACATGTGAAACAGTTGAAGACTTGATGCCCAGGGTTTCTTCTGGGGGCTGGTCACATAGGCACCCTGTGTCTAGCATATACCAAAATTCCACACTCCCAGAAGGAAAACAGGCATTCAACATAAACCATATTGTTTGCACAAACAGGTTAGGCACAGTGAACCACTCTTATCAGGGAATGGTGGGAACATTCCCAAAATACAAGTTCTCAGATGTCAGCCATGGGCTAACCTTGTAAGCAGGCCTTTCTAAGGATAACAGTCTCAGGCATGTTATATTAACTCTTTACTGCACACTGTGCTCACTTTAGTATTTAATTACAGAGTGGTTTGTCGTGGGAATTTAATTCAATATGAGAATCTCTTGACTGACTTATTAGTTTGTATTTTTCAGTTTCTGACTATTATACTGCTACTGTTTTCATCTATTCTCATGACTAGGAAGTAGACTGTTGTGCCTATTTTATTTCCAGGTAACATATATTCTTTTTTTTTTGCTGAGGAAGGTTCGCCCTTAGCTGACATCTGTTGCCAATCTTCCTCTTTTTTTGCTTGAGGAAGATTAGCCCTGAGTTAACATCTGTGCCAGTCTTCCTCTATTTTGTATGTGGGTCACTGCCACAGCATGGCTGATGAGTGGTGTAGGTCTGTGCCCAGGATCCGAACCTGGGAACCTGGGCCGCTGAAGCAGAATGCGCCAAACTTTTAACCACTACACCACAGGAACGGCCCCCAACTGACATATATTCTAATGACTGGATATTTTCTATTTTTAACTTTTTAAAATGTGTTAGGTGTAAATGTAACAGGATATTAAGCTCATGTTTTCATTCAAATGAAATTCTGTTGATTCTAGCAAACCTTTTTTTTGTTTTCTTTCTTTGGTGAGGAAGATTGGCCCTTAGCTAACATCTGTTGCCAATCTTACTCTTTTTGCTTGAGGAAGATTGGCCCTGAACTAACATCTGTGCCAGTTTTCCTCTATTTTGTATGTGGGATGCTGCCATATCATGGCTTGATGAGTGGTGTAGTTCCGTGCCTGGGATCTGAACCCGCGAACCTGGGCCACCCAAGCAGAGCATGGTGAACTTAACCACTACACCACTGGGCCGGCCCCCAGCAAACCATTTAATTTGTGCAATTTTACATGTATTTTCTGTTTAGTTATTAATTATACTTAGGCCCTTTAAACTTTTTTAAGTTCTGTTTTTTAATTTACTACTGTCTTTTTTCCTTGAGTCATTTGAATTTTGCTTACATATATAAACTTCTCTTGTCTTTCATTTTGATTAACCTTCTGTTTTAATTTTTTTCATTATTAATTTTGTTCTTAAGATACTAACCTGACTCTGATGTTTTGATAGTTCATACCTAGATAGCAAGTATGAATTTGTTAATATATTTCTTAACTACTTACATGTAGACTACTTACATGTAATTCTCTTCTTAAAGAGAATTAACACTTTGCATTTTATGACTTCACAAACCTGTATAATCAACAGTGTTGACAGGTTTTTATTTTTGCTTTTCATGATGGTACCAATTTAGTCTTCATTGCATAGTTATGAATTTTTAGAAGTCATAGTTTATTATTAACGTTATACTTCCCTTTTTTAGGATTTCTGTTAACTTGAGAGAATTTTTGTGGTCCTTGTTTCCAGAGTTAGGATTTAGTAGTATTCATGTGGTGGAAAACTTTGACAGAAAGGAAGAGAAGGGAAAAACCTATAAACCTCTGGTAGTCTGTTGGTGAGAGAAATCTTTTCATTCATAGATTCATTAAATGTTCTTCTGTAGCAATGTACTAGATGTCATTGTATCTCTTAGAGATACAATGATTGGGAAACAAAAAGTATCATTTCACATGGATTCATATAAAAGCTATTTGTTTCACTCATATGGTTTCCTGAAGAACATATGATATACAGGTATCCTATGAATGGAAAAATAATTTTATATGACTATATCATATATTCGTATGTATATAATATATAATAACTTTATATGAATTTAGAGTGAAGTGAAGTCTCTCCAACTAGAGAGACGAGGGGAAGCAAAATGAAGGAAATGGCATAAGAGTTGTCTTTAAAGGATGGGTAAGAAAGAGTTCAGTAGTAAGTACTAGGCAAGGCAAGGATATTTTAGGGAGAGGAAATGCCTTTGTCAGTAGTAGAAAAATAAGGTAGGCGGGCCGACCCCATGGCTTAGCGGTTAAGTGTGCGCGCTCCGCTGCTGGTGGCCCGGGCGCGCACCGACTCTCCGCTTCTCTGGCCATGCTGAGCCGTGTCCCACGTACAGCAACTAGAAGGATGTGCATCTATGACATACAACTCTCTACTAGGGCTTTGGGGGAAAAAATAAAAAAAAAAAGAAATAATGTAGGACTAGGTATGTTTTATAAGAAATTATAAAAGTGCAGAGTGACAAGAGCATGAGGTACTTGAGGGCATTGTCTCTGGATTCCAGACTGAGGAGGTTATATTTTATTTGGTAGACGTTGAGAATCCTTGAAAGCAGTTGAGTCAAGGGATGAATATGATCCAAAAAATATATAAAACTTATAGAAAGAGTAATATGGCTCCAGCATTCAGGATGAGAGACAGTCATGAGGCTGTTAGGCCAAAAATTAAGGCAGTAGTATCAAGGAAGTAAAAAGTAACCAGGGATGAGCTGGATAATTCTGTCAAATTTTGGAGACATCAGGAAGAATGATTTGAGAGAGTATCGTTGGATTTGATATTTGAATATTCTGGGAAAATTTGAGTAGACTGGAAGCAGACCCAGAATTTAAGGAAGGGAAGAGAATAGTAAGGTAATAAAAGGAAGGCACTGGGGATAGATGGTTCTTTACAAGAAGTTTCCTAGTCAAAAGAGGAGAGGGAACTGTTAAGCCAGAGTTTTTGAAGTTGGTGGCAGGGACTTATTTTTGGAAAGTAGGCGGGGCGGGACATCTCACTCACTGGGGACAGAAAGGAATAAAAGATATGTGAAGATGGAAAATTTTAGGTAAAGAAGCAGGTTGGGAAGATTTAATTTATGACAGGTTATCTATAAATGTGAAATAACAGGTGGAAACAGTGAATGCCTTCTTTTCTCAACTGTTAGCTTAGTGGCTTTTTCATATTATCTTAGGAAGCATAATATTTTCTTATGAGGATGTTTATTTTTTTCTATTTTTCTTATTGTAGAGAAATAAATATATTGTGATAACATAAAGTGTTTATTTGTATGCTTAGATTCTACAGCTGAATAGCTTCTATGGATTAATCTTTTATTCTTTGGAGTTCTAAATTTCTGAGCTCAGAGTCTACTTGCCTTTGGGTACAGAAGCTCAATATATAAGCTTCTAATGCCCCATGTCTTTTTCTTTTAATTTTATTTGTCTTTTTACCAGTACACGGATATCATTTGTGCTTAGGATGTGAGAAATGATTCTGATTTTGTCATCTCCTTTATGGTACCTTATTGGGTCTTCATTGGAACTTTGTAAACTCTAGTGGACCAAAAATAGCCCATTTCAGATGCAAGAGTAGTTTACTAAGAAGGAGGTACGGTAGAAAGCTAAGGAATTTCTGTATTTGTTGCTGTTATACTATGCAAGTATTTTTCTCCCTTTATGATTTATAAATTTTGACACCTATATGCAATTTTTATGAACTTAAAGTAAAAATGATGATACATATCAGTGGGAAACATCTAGAGTGCATTATTCATATTGACCTTTGTTAAACTTTCTATTTATGGTTTTCTACATTTAAAATTTGAACATTATGCTTTCTCAAACATTCACTCATTTCATTACTTCAGTAAACCCTGAGCATCTGCTACATGTCAGAATGGTACTATGCACTATAGATGTAACTTTGTTAAGCCTTCCTGTGTGTGTGTGTATATGTGTGTGTGTACATGTGGAGAGAGGGATAGAGACTGACTAAATTATGATTATCAATACTGTGAAACGAGTCTCAAATATAAACCTAATTCTGAGGTTAGGTTTAATAAATATTGCTTATTTGTTATAAAACAGTTCCTAAAGCATGATTTTTAAGTAACTAAAATATGGAGTTTCAAAAACAAATTTTTCCCAACAGGTGGGAAGGATAAACCAAAAACAAATGTTGAAGACTTACAAATTAAAAAGGTAAAGAAGAAAAAGAAAAAGAAACACAAAGAGAATGAAAAACGGAAGCGTCCGAAAATGTATAGCAAATCTATTCAAACCATCTGCTCAGGATTGCTCTCTGATGTTGAAGATCAAGAAGCCAAAGGCATCTTAAGTGATAACGTAAAGGATTACCGTGGAAAGAATTTGGATACCAAGAACTATGATTCCAAAACTCCAGAGAACAGTGAGTTTCCATTTGTCTCATTAAAGGAGCCACGGGTTCAGAATAACCTTAGAAGGTTGGATACTTTGGAGTTCAAACGGCTCATTCATATTGAGCACCAGCCTAATGGAGGTGCATCCGTTATCCACGCCTACAGTAGTGAGCTCTCCCACCTGTCTCCTGTGGAGATGGAGAGGTTCGCAGAAGAATTTGTGGGCCTGGTGTTCAGTGAAAATGAAAACTCTGCAGCTTTCTATGTAATGGGTATTGTTCATGGGGCAGCTACTTACTTACCTGACTTTTTAGACTACTTTTCATTTAATTTTCCCAATTCGCCAGTGAAAATGGAGATATTGGGAAAGAAAGATATAGAGACAACGACTATGTCCAATTTTCATGCTCAGGTAAGAGTTTTTATTTTTTTAAATTTTATTTATTTGTATTAGACAAGTTTCTGTTCTTTTTCATTTTGCTATAGGTTTGAAATAAAAAGGTAAGAATGTAATTAAACCTCTTGAGAATATGAAGAATACATTACTTTCTTGATGTGAACATCAGAGTTTAAATTTCAGTTTCTACTTATCTGTTTTTTCTTAAAGATAATTAATGAAATAATTAAGATTCTGTTGTCCTTTTTTGCAAGAATTTATCTTGGAAATGAAACGAATGAAATGAATTTAACTGTGTATTTTCCAGTCCTTACAATAGTTCTCTCACCTGAAAATCATCTAAAATTGTCTTCTTGCTTTATGTGATAATGTCTTAAAAGTGCTTAGCACTGAATGCATCACATAGGAGGTGCTGAATAAATGTTGGCCAGAAAGTATATCGCGGAACAAAGGAATTATCAGTTAATTGTGTGATTATGTGAGAAAATTAGTGGATCAGTGCATATATTGAGCTGATTTCCATTTCCTACCCTTCTCTATGGTATAGACTATATATTATTGTAGAAAGCAGAGGCAGAATCAAGTTTTCTGGCTCTTGAAAGTGAACATGGGCCCACGTAAAAGGCCAGTGCCGTTGTCACCCACTCTCAGATCAGGGACTACGGAGGCCAGGAGATCAGCCAACTTTCACATTTATTGGTGCTCAAGTTTCCTGTTTTCTGAGTAATAATTGACATCATTCTAGTTTGGAAGGAGGAAAAAAGTAAAGAAAGTCTCAAAAGGATCTTAGTGATCATCTATCCCAACCTTTCTCAACTTACAGATAAGCATATAAACATAGACAGGAGTAACTTACTGTTTTAAGGTTGGCAGCAGTGCCAGGAATAGAACAAAATCTCCTTAATCTTCATCCAGGACTCTTTTACTTATTCTGAGTATATTTTTTTGTTATGTGTTCAATGTGAAATGATAATCTGGATGTCCAATCATCCACACATACCAAACCCCCCCCACACCCCACAGTATGTTTGGTGTATATTCTGTAATATATTGTAGTCTGGAAAATAAGATAATATTTAAAGTTTTAATGTGTGTGGAATTATTCTCTAATGTAACACGTCTGAGAATCAGAATTTATATTTCAGAGCTGAAAGGGATCTATAGAGCATCTGTTACTAGCCCTGTCATTTTATAGAATTCCAGAATGGTTAGCAACTTGTCTGAGATTACAGGAGTTTAGTGGTAGAGCCAAACTGGCATCTAGTAATAGTGTCTGCTATTTGTTGAGTACTGACTATGCCAAGAACTGCTCTAAGCTCTTTATATGTAATAACTCATTTAATCCTCATTACAGTGTAGTTTTAGCAGTGTGGAAACAGATACAGTGAGAGAAGAAATAACTTGCCTAAAGACCTTCAGTGCTAGATCATTCGTTTGTCATTTATTATATATCTGCTAAATGCCAGGTTTTATGCTAGGCCTCTTGACTTCCAATACCTTTTATTTCTATTATATCACAAACTTTCTTGCTGCCATACTATGCAAATTTATTTCAGTAATCTTTTAAATGTCATAATGCTTAACACTTGCTTTTCAAATAGCTTTTAAGGTTAGGAATTATTAATATTTTATTAAATGGTAAGAATTTTCATAACTATATACTAAGTACAACATGAAAACTGTGCTTTTGTTATTAAATAAAACGAGATGCTGGGACTCATTAATTATGTCAGCAAGTGACTAGGTTGTGGGTCTCAAGTCCTTAGTTACCCTAGTGCCACCACCTATTCAGAGTTCTTGGGTAATTCATATGGCACAGAGGAAACTGTAGGCAGATGTGTCTTTGTTACCAGCTATGGTTTTGGCCCCATATCTGTGTGATCTGTCAGCTGCAAGGACTGCTTTTACCTCTTTAGCTTTAGACTTAATAGCAGGAAGATACCCGTGCAAGGTCCATGTTCCTTTAACCTAAGATCCTCCAGATCCAGTCATTTCTATAGTGTGGGGAAGAATATCTAGTGAAAAGCTGCCCTGAACTGCTTATTTGATATTTCCTCCACACTGGATTCTTAGTTTGTATTTTTTTTTTATTGATGGCATAATGGTTTATAAATTGTAAAATTATTATTTTATATTATTATTAGTCCCTCACCATATATATGTGCCCCTTTCCCCCTTATGACCCCTCTGCCCCAACCCCCCCCCCCCAACTCCCTTCCCCTTTGGTAACCACTAACCTGTTCTCTTTGTCCATGTGTTAGTTGATCTTCCATATATGAGTGAAGTCATACGGTGTTTGTATTTCTCTGTCTGGCTTATTTCACTTAACATAATCCCTCAAGGTCCATCCATGTTGTTGCAGATGGGATGATTTTGTCTTTTTTATGGCTGAGTAGTATTCCGTTGTAAATATATACCACATCTTCTTTATCCATTCATCAGTCGATGGGCACTTGGGTTGCTTCCATGTCTTGGCTATTGTGAATAATGTTGCAGTGAACATAGGGGTGCATAAGTCCCTTTGAATTGTTGATTTCAAGTTCTTTGGATAAATACCTAGTGGGATAGCTGGGTTGCATGGTATTTCTATTTTTAATTTTTTGAGAAATCTCCATACTGTTTTCCGTAGTGGCTGCACGAGTTTGCATTCCCACCAGCAGTGTATGAGGGTTCCCTTTTCTCCACATCCTCTCCAACATTTGTTATTTTCTGTCTTGGTGATTATAGCCATTCTAATGGGTGTAAGATGATATCTTAGTGTGGTTTTGATTTGCATTTCCCTGATGATTAGTGATGTTGAACATCTTTTCATGTGCCTGTTGGCCACCTGTATATCTTCTTTGGAAAAATGTCTCTTCGTATCCTCTGCCCATTCTTTGATTGGGTTGTTTGCTTTTGTTGTTCAGTTGTGCGAGTTCTTTATATATTTTGGAGATTAACCCCTTGTCAGATATATGATTTGCAAATATTTTCTTCCAGTTGGTGAGTTGTCTTTTCGTTTGTTCCTTGTTTCCGTTGGCTTACAGAAGCTCTTTAGTCTGATGAAGTCCCATTTGTTTATTTTTTCTTTTGTTTCCCTTGCTTGAGTAGACATGGTATTCGAAAAGATCCTTCTAAGGCTGATGTCAGAGTGTACTGCCTATATTTTCTTCTAGGAGTTTTATGGTTTCACATCTTACCTTCAAGTCTTTAATCCATTTTGAGTTAATTTTTGTGTATGGCAAAAGATAACGATCTACTTTCATTCTTTTGCATGTGGCTGTCCAGTTTTCCCAACACCGTTTATTGAAGAGACTTTCCTTTCTCTGTTGTATGTTCTTAGCTCCTTTGTCAAAGATTAGCTGTGTGTAGATGTGTGGTTTTATTTCTGGGCTTTCAATTATGTTCCATTGATTTGTGTGTCTGTTTTTGTGCCATTACCATGCTGTTTTGATTACTATAGCTTTGTAGTATATTTTGAAGTCAGGGATTGTGATGTCTCCAGCTTTGTTCTTTTTTCTCAGGATTGCTTTAGTGTTCGGGGGCTTTTGTTGCCTCATATGAATTTTAGGATTCTTTGTTCTATTTCCATGAATAATGTCATTGGGATTCTGATTGGGATTGCATTGAATGTGTAGATTGCTTTAGGTAGTGTGGACATTTTACCTATGTTTATTCTTCAAATCCAAGTGCATGGAATATCTTTCCCTTTCTTTATGTCATCATCAGTTTCTTTCAATAATGTCTTATAGTTTTCATTGTATAGGTCTTTCACCTCCTTGGTTAAATTTATTCCTAGATATTTTATTCTTTTTGTTGCAATTGTAAATGGAATTGTATTCTTGAGTTGTCTTTCTGTTAGTTCGTTATTAGAGTATAGAAATGCAACTGATTTTGTACTCTGCAACTTTGCTGTAGATGTTCATTATTTCTAATAGTTTTCCGATGGATTCTGTAGGGTTTTCTATATATAAAATCACGTCATCTGTAAACAGAGTTTCACTTCTTCCTTGCCAATTAGGATACCTTTATGTCTTTTTCTTGCCTAATTGCTCTGGCCAAAACCTCCAGTACTGTGTTGAATAAGAGTGGCAAGACTGGGCACCCTTGTCTTATTCCTGTTCTCAGAGGGATGGCTTTCAGTTTTTCCCTGTTGAGTATGATGTTGGCTGTGGGTTTGTCATATATGGCCTTATGTTGAGGCACTTTCCTTCTGTACCCATTTTATTGAAAGTTTTTATCATAAATGGATGTTGGATCTTGTCAAATGCTTTCTCTGTGTCTATTGAGATGATCATGTGATTTTTATTCCTCATTTTGTTAATGTGGCATTTCTCATTGATTGATTTGCAGATGTTGAACCATCCCTGTGTTCCTGGTATAAATCCTTCTTGACCATGGTGTATGATACTTTTTTTTTTTCGGTGAGGATGATTAGCCCTGAGCTAACATCTTTTCTAATTCTTCCCTGTTTTGCTGAGGAATATTGGCCCTGGGCTAACATCCGTGCGCATCTTCCTCTACTTTATACGTGGAATGCCTGCCACAGTATGGCTTGATAAGCGGTGCATAGGTTGCACCCAGGATCCAAACCTGCGAACCCCAGGCCGCCAAAGCAGAGTGCAGGAACCCAACCACTACACCACTAAGCCGGCCCATGGTGTATGATACTTTTTTTTTTTTTTTTTTTTTTAAAGATTTTATTGATTTTTTGCCCCCAAAGCCCCAGTAGATAGTTGTATGTCACAGCTGCACACCCTTCTAGTTGCTGTATGTGGGACTCGGCCTCAGGCTGGACAGAGAAGTGGTGCCTCAATGCGCACCCGGGATCCGAACCCCGGGCCGCCAGCATCGCAGCGCGCACACTTAACCACCAAGCCACAGGGCCGGCCAATGATACTTTAAGTGTATTGCTGTATTCAGTTTGGCAATATTTTGTTGAGGATTTTTGCATCTATGTTCATCAGTGATATTGGCCTGTAATTTTCCTTGTTTGTGTTGTCCTTGTCTGGCTTTGGGACAGGGTGATGTTAGCC